ACCATCATGCACAGATTCCCCTCAGGACCTGTGGAGCACCTGGGAGTCCCAAGACAATCAATCACAGTGGCTTTTGTGCCTGGATATGAGCAACTGAACTAAGACCAAGGAATCTAAATAGGATAAGGCAGGTCTTTTGGACCCTGTCTGACACTGTGCTTGTAGGTTGTTCTTTGAGCTTTTAGCCAGCTTGCCAAACTTTAGTTTAAAACTCTCAAAATGTGGAGTTCTGCTTCCTAGGGCAGGAAGACCTCTGTGGTCCCTGTTGGACTCTCATCAAGGCTGGTGCTTTATGTTGGGCTTTGGTTACAGAGCACAGGTTTTTCCATCAAAAACTTGATTTTCAAGCACTTGGCTCCTCAAAAGAGACTCACTGAGACTCCTCAGCCCCTGAGCAGCCCAGGAGCATTGGCCTGTCAGGGCAGTGGGGCTGACAGACATCTCCCAGCCAGGAGGCAAGGAGAACAAGCACCAACCACAATGGGAGTCACCCATCTGAAGCTCTTGACACCCCACCCTTGGCTCCATGGCAGAGCTGGTTACAGTGAACCTCCAACACTGGTTAAACCACAGCAGAAAATCGGGTGAGGGGCAGAGCAGGGGTGAGCAGTGGTGCTATGTGGGACTTGGCTCTGGAGAGTTCTGCTGTCACACCAGGGACAGCCCAGCACATGACCCTGCACTGCCACAGCACTGGAGGAGTCTGTCCAAAGCTAGGGCACACATGCATTAACTATAATGTAGGATGTGTTTAACTCTTTATGTTTCCTTCTTTACTTGGTGCCAGCAGCTGTAATTCTTTATCCTGATTTTGTCTGAGCTTGTGCTGAGATGATTCTCAGATTTTTATCTTCAATGGAACAGTAACCTTTTTTCCAGATTTGCAGATTTCCAGTAAATATTACAAAAGTCTGTGTGGTACATGGCCTCTGAACTACCTGTGCTTGTAGTTTTCAAATGCTCTTGGCCTATAGCATTGTCACAGGTCTGGAAAAAAAACATCCCCAGCCTTACTTGGTACTTACACTACTTTTATAAAATAATAAACTATCAAAACACTTGCCTTTTCTGCAGCAGCACTTACAGGAAACCAAATCAACTCATCCCCTCTTCAAACTTCACAAAAACCAAAGGAAAGTTTTTTGTTTGTGAGTATCAACAACCACTTTGCCCCTCACCCCTCACTTCCTTACTGGTTCCAGCCAGCCCCTCCTTGGTCAATTTTCTACCTGTTCTAATTGTTTATGTATTAATTGTTTTTCCTATTAACTATATATTATTTAATTTTAATTACTACTTTAACAAGCCAGGGAACAGCAGTGAGAAGCTATCCAGCTGCTTATTTTCCTAACTAGTGACACGGCCTTTGGCTTGCAAATAGGACTGTCGAAAACTCTCAGGTAGGCATCCAGGCTCTGGGTGCCTTGGCTACTGTTTCCCAGTGAGGGGGAAATCACCCATATGGGCTGCAGGCACCTGGGCAAGTGGAGGCTCCCACAGCTACACAAATCCAAGAGGAAAAAGGGGAGATCCTAGAGGAGGAGGGGACTTGCTACTGTGCAGGAGCCTAGAACTGGTAACTTCTCCTGGCCCTTTCTCACAGATGAATGGATGCAGCCAGAATTGGGGACATTTCTTCTCCAGGGCCCTGAATGTCTCTGGTACTCAATGTACAATTTCCTGATGAGTGGCTGAGGAACATCAGGTAGACGGAGAAAACAAAAAACCAAACCAAATCAAAGGGAGATTGCTGGCTCTGCAGTGTGACAGATTACTTCTGTGAAGAGTTGCCCAATGCCCCACTTCAATGGGGCTGAATCACGGAGATGAGGAGTTAGTCAGCATTTCCTAAAGGCACCAGTGAGAGTGAACTAACAGGTATAAATGTCCTGAAGGCATCTGGGCCTCCTCCCTGGGAAGGCAGGTGCAGATAGAGGGCAGTGACACCCAGCAGCACCTCTGCCAGTCGTGGGACCAGCGGGCAGGATGGCCTGTGCCAGACAGACCTTTGCCAGAGGAGCTCCCACTGCCCAGCTGGATTTAACTGGGCTGAAGCATTCGGAGAGCAGTGGGGCAAACAGCCACAAGCCCCCTGCACCCCGAGCCGGGTGCACCTCCCTGCCCTGCACAGGGAGCAGCGGCTGGGGAAGATGGGCAGGACAGCGAGGAGGGGCAGAGGCCCAGCTCAGGCATCTCCCCGCAGAGCTGCACCCTGCTCACCCATCCCTGCGGGAAGAGGGAGCTGGGCTCCTGCTGAGGCTCACATGGCAAAAGAGGCACCAGGAAACATTTATTCAATCCCAACAACAGCAGCGCCCCTCATTTGTTTCAAGGTCTGACGGGGCGTTTTGGGGCAGTGTAGTAGGTAAGCACCTTGCTGAAAAACACTTAGCCATTAAAGCCATTATCAGAAGTTGATCAGATGTGAATTCTTTAATATAAAACCAGGCCTTAAAATGGATTTTGAAGACCTGCCATCCCTTTCACTTGTGCAGACTTCCAGGTCAAGGAACGTTTCAGCCACAGCCGGGACTGAACCGCTCCCGCCCCAGTGCTGCACAAAATGAGCTGAAGAGCAGGGAGCAGAAGGGAAGGTAAAGTGCAGGAGAGCTGCAGGTGAGTGTGTCCCTCAGAACAAGGCTCCATCTCAGAACTGGCATCAAATAGACTAAACGTTCATTAAAAGGAAAATATTTTGAATTTTATTTTTTCACGTTATTATCAAGTACACAATTACAATAATGTCACACATCCCTATATGGTTCTATGTATTTTGTTTTTTTCTTTTGTCTTTTTTACAAAGTGTACAGAGGGAAGGACATATACAATATTTAACAGGGTATTTTCTACAGAACAATAATTTATATTATGTCCTTGTAAAAATCTGTACCTTTTTTAAACATTAAACTGAAACATCCACTTTATAGCATTTGCTAAGCAAATTATTTAAGAATTAAAACTAACCTGTAACTAATGTCAGTACATTAACAATAACTATAACTTCATTTTCTCTTTATACAGACAAATACATTTTACAAAATCCACTTGACCAAACCCTTAATTATTAAAAAAAAAAGTGTGTATGATTCCAGGCTACGTAAGAGAAAGAAAATGCGTAAAATTGTGTTCTTTGTCTTTCAGCTTATTTAAAAAAATAAAGTTCAAATGGCTAAAATCCTCAGCACTACTATGGGATTTTTTGCAGATTTTGTACACTTTCCAGGTTTCCAGTTAGAAAATGCTTGAACATAAGAGAGGAAAAAAAAAAAAAGTAGTCACAGGCAAGTATTTTGCAAGAAGCGAGTGGGAATCTCTGCTGGGTTTTACTGCATCTGGTTTGGCATCAGCAGGCAACGGACACTACGGCCATGGAGGAAATCCACTGGCTTCAGCGGGGATTTCAAGGAAGGCACAATGCAGCACAGCCAGGAATTACACGCTAAAGAGTCATGTAGTAGCAATATTACACAAGAGCACCCAGCAAGTCTGGGGGCACTGCAAGCAGGCAAAGAAAGAAAAAACCATCCTACAGCACAGGCAGTGACATGGCATTGGACTCTCCCGAACTGCACACTACAGACAAGAATTCCAGCTTACAGTGAGACAGCAGGGATGAGCAGTAGGGGCAGGGCTTGGTAACAAGACAAATTACAAAAGGCCGAGAAGATGCACATCCAGAAAGGAAACCTTTGTCCCTCTCTCACCCCAAACTTGAAACTATCACTAAAATTCCTGTTTGAGTTCAATTGGAAATTCACCTGCCTAGAAACAGGAATTAACACTGGTCCAGTCGCTGAAGCCTTTCCATTAGGGAATTGTTGGTTACAAATCTGTCCTAATCTGGCAGGCAGCCAGGACTGAATTCTGCAATCCATCATCAGTGGCTGGGATGAGAATTTGAGCAAGGGGAGCAGGGCCATGTCCTAAAATCTGGCCTGTAATTAAAACGGTTTGGGTTTTTTGCTCCAAGGTTGTTGTTAAAGTACATGACTTTGTGCTTGGTACATTTACACTGCAATTAGCAAATGATATGGAGCTACTTTATAATAGTCTTCAGGTGGCAAAATTGCATCTAATAATTGTAATGTTCTCCCAGCTGTTTATAAACAGATTGAAAGAACTGGGTTAATTCTGGATACAGTACTAATTATTAAACAGCCACTGAACACAGCTACTAATGGCTCAGGAAAAACATTTAATTTAGTAACAGAACTGCATCTATCATAAGATACTTTTTTTATTAAGGACATCTACGTTACAACATCTCTACTCCTTATGAACTCATCTGCTCCACTCCAGGCCCTTCTTAAGCTCTCACTGTAAATAGCTGGTTTCCAAACTGAGGCACCTCTTGGTCTTAAATTCTATTCTAAAACAATTAACAATAAAAATGTGACTTGAACCACAAACTGCTCTTTCAAAGAAATACCAACATACATAAAAGCATAAAGTTTGAGGTACGTTTACCAGCACATACAGACAGTTGTGATCTATTGTTAACTCTGCAAATGGAACAAGAGTATTTCATGTTTCCAACATTTAAGACAGGAATAAAGTGGAAAAAACCCAACTCTTGTAACACACAAAACCTTTCAAAGACAAAGAAGCACAGAACAATAAATGTAGTATTTGCGCATATTTTGAATTTGCCCAGGAAAGATAAAAACCGCCCCAAACCATTTCTAAAAATATTTTTCTCTCTGAAACCAGAATGAAAACACAAAGTGAGACTTCTAACTCCTCAACCGGAAAATAGTTAACCTGCCATGAAGTCTGTATAGTTAAAACAGGACAGTCAGGTGGGCCCTAGTGACTTTACTGTCAACATGACAATTCCCCATTTTATACACACCTCTGACAATTTTATCAAGAGAAATTTTGTATTTTTAAAATTCACGACAAAACTGCATTAACATGGACACTGTGAGTATCAACGAGATCAGTAAGATAAATATACTTAAATAAACTATTATGGTTGAAAAATTCAGTAAGAGACAGGGTTTACTTTATTAAATGCAACTTTATTGTTGCCATCTTTTCTTCATTTATTAAACAAACTGAATAGAATTCAGAACACGCTATTGAACAAAAGGTATAAAAGTCAACTACAAGCAATAATCCTATTTTTATACAGCAACAAATCAAATGCACAGTATTTTTTTTTGTTTTTGTTTTTTTTTTTTGTGTGTGGTTTTTTTTTTTTTTGTGTGTGTGATCGCAGGTGATTGGCTTTAAAATAAGCTAACTGCCTGAAAGGCAAATTTCCTTTATAATTCCAGCCATAAGTCTGTGAAAGAGACTTTAAGGCAGCCCAACATCTTTATGATGTCGCATAATGTGCTGGTTCTTCTCTGAAGGCCTTCGGAAACCTTTCTTGCAATACTCACACCGGTGAGGGTAGTCTTTTGTGTGAATGGAAATCACGTGCCGTTTGAAGCCTGAGGCGTCTGTAGTGCTATACTCACAGTACTCACACTGATAAACTTTCCTGCCACTGTGTGTTTTCATGTGTTTTTTCAGCTCATTTTGTTGCCTAAAGCCCTTTCTACATCTCTTGCACCTGAATGGAAGATCCTTTGTGTGAACTGAGAGTATGTGGCGACTCAGAATGAATGGATCTGCAATTTTAAAGTCACAATGTCTGCACTGGTGCAATTTTTTACCTTTGTGAGCCGCCACGTGTTTTTTCAGTTCCGAAGGCCTGTGAAAGCCTTTATCACACATATCACACTTATGAGGATAGTCTTTTGTGTGGACTGAAATAATGTGTCGTTTCAGATCACTCGAGTTTGAGCTCTTATGGTCACAATGCAAACACTGATGTGTTTTACTTTCTTGATGCATAAGCGTATGTTGCTGTAGCTCTTTGGTATCTGAAAAAGTCTGGAAACAAATATCGCACTTCAGCGGCGTTTCCTTACTGTGTTTAGTCTTTACGTGGGTTTTCAAGTTGGAAGAGTCGGCAGATCGGTATTCACAATATTGGCACTGGTAGGGCTTCTCGCCAGTGTGGATCCGCATGTGCTTCTTGAGCTCCGACGGGTGACGAAACCCTTTGCCACACTCCACGCAAATGTGAGGAAAGTTCTTGCTGTGGACAGCCAAAAGGTGGTGACTCAGTAACCCTTGTTCTGCTGTCTCATAATCGCAGAATTTGCACTTGTGCATTTTATTAACTCCTTTGTCCCTGTGCACCATCTTGTGAGTAAATAAAGTTCCCGCGTGAGAGAAGGTTTTCCCACACTCATCGCATTCAATAAGCTTTTCTGTTTTGTTGGTCAGCTTATGACTCTCCAAGTGGTTATGTAAACTTATTTTTTTATTCGTAGTGTAATCACAGTCTGTGCATCTGTATTTCTTCTTAGTAAGAAGGTGCTCCGGGTGGTTTTTCATGTGCCTTTTCAAGAAACCTCTGGATTTAAATTTCTTTCCACAAATCATGCAGGGATAGACTGTCAGTGGATGACCGTCGGGACCAATGATTATTGCTGAAAAACAACAAAAAACCCCTTTATCAATATTATACAACAATACTACACTTCAATAAATGTGAGATGTTAACAGTAAGATTAATTGTTGCGAAAGATGGGATACATATGTTTTACTATACATGTTCTTCACCTTAAGTAATTCTATTTTGAAGAGTTCTGACTGAGTTCACACATTAAATACATGCAGAAACCAATGGCTGGTGCAAAGAACTGCAGCCAACTTGTTAAACTGAGTATCATCTAGTAAGCAAACTACACAATCTTCTCTTGATTCTCCACAAATCTGCAGATAAAGTTTAATCTTGCAGTTTAATCACCTACCACTGACTACAATTCAGATGCCCCGAAACTAACACCTCCTTCTTATGCCATCTGTCACAGCTACAATCTGAAGAGGTACCAAGCAAGAACCAATAAGAACATGTTTTACACAGAGAAACCTCAAAGCTTTGGAAAATATTTGCACTCATCTATCACCCCGATTTGTTTACCCTGAATTTGCCCAAGGATGTTAAAAAAGCTGTCTTGTCCAAAAATGTTTTATAAGGAGAATGGACTAGCTGGAAATAGAAAAGGCCAAATTTAATTTGCACAGTTTACTAACTCAAGCTAAGCTAAACAGAACTCCTACAGTTAAGTCACAATTCAGAAAGAAACTTCTAGTATTATTTAAGGCAAGGCTACTGAAGAAAAAAAGTTGTGTTTTTTCAACTTTATCAAACCAAATAAATATTCTGACCGTAACACAGTAACAGCAGAAAACAAATTATGCTACAGAACATTTCTGTTCTCACAGATGAAAAGAAAAAGATAGGCACAAATGTCAAGGCAATTTTATTTCACCATTAAAAGAGGAAAGGGTATAGAACTTACACTACTGAAAATTTATATATAATGTTCAGACTTTCCAGTCACCTACTGAGCTGATATAATGAAATGCATTGTTCTATATATGTTCAATAAAGACAAAAAAAAAGGGGTTTTAAAAGGCATGATTATAGAATACCATTTATCTAACATTGCCTTTTAAAAAGCTACATTAAACATGAAAACAGGTGTGGCAAGTTAAGTATATAGCTTTTTAACCTTTTGCTATGATACTTTTTCTATGCCAGAAATTGCTTCCTTTAAAATACCTGACACAATCCAAATCACCCATGTATTTAAAATTTGCAAAATAAAATCTGCACTCATTTATAAAGTAGAAGTGTTGTCAACCAAGTAATTCCCCAAATCCCTCTTTTTACAAGACACTCCAAAGGCATCTGTTTATGGGCAAGTGCCTGGATGAATGAGAGCCAGGCACCACATACTCACCTGTCTGATACTGTCTGGACTCAGGTCTCCTCTTCTTCTTTGGTTTTTGCTTGGCCAGCCTCCCAAGTCCAGATGACTCATCTATGTGCAAAAGAGCACTTGCAGTGCCATTCCGACTTTCGATGCCATCGTTATTATTACCTACCAAAGGAAGTTAAAAAGTTACCTACCAACACTGCAGGTAATTCGAGCACAAATTCTACAATGGTAGTAACAGAAATTATAAACTACTATCTGGACATTTAATCAAACTGTAATCATGTACAGCATAAGCTGGAAAATGTCTCACCATGTAACTTGGGTTTTGATTAGTATCATAAGCATTAGCTTTGTTAACATAATTTTACAGGAGTACATAATGTACAGGAATTAATGGCTTTTCATTACAGAGAATTCTTCAAATGCAGCATTTTTTTAATCTCTCTTGTTGCTAATTATGCCCAAAATGTTTAACATTAGTAAATAATAGCATGTCACAATATCCACTGTACCCAATTTTCTTCTCAGTCCTGAAATACAATTTGTGTGTGAGCTCTCATTCACTTCTGTCTGTCTGAATTCACCTGACTGAAGTTTGTCACACACCAAGTTTCTGAACTGGAGCTGCGATCAAAGAATCTTTCTGAACAGCCCATAAAGTGATAAGCAAAGTACACTATTTACTATTTATACACCTGATGCTTTAGCACTTACAAATTCTTTCTACTGGGAACAAAGAGCATGCTCAGTATTGTGTAACAGAAAGAACTGAAGAGTCTTTGCCTCACAGAGCTTTGTGTTTAATACACAAATGATATCACTGTATGTAAAACAAACATGAAGATTACAAATACATTCAAGAAGGAATTTATTGGCAATCAGCTTAATATTGGTGATTTAAGAGCATAAGTGAACTTTTAATAATAAATTTTGTGGTCAAGTATTTACTTGAATCAATAAAAGCCAGCATTTCCTAGTGAAAGCAAAGTACACAAGTAAGACAGGAAGATTCAAGAAAGTGCAATATGCTCAACAGCTGCTCCTTTAGTAGAGTGCTGATAATTAATATTCATGATTAATGTAAGGAGACTCAGAGCCAGGCACATGTGCAGAGCCTGAAGATTCTCACCTATATCCTAGCTCAAGTGTTCTTCTGCCATTTTCAGGCCTTCGTGCTTAACTTCTCCCTGTCCCCACCATCTCTCACCCTGTACGCTAGGCTGCTTACTGCTGACAATGCAACTCCTCCACTGTTTCCCACATTCTTAAATGCTCCTTTCAATTCCATCTCATTGTTTTTAATACATTCTACTCAATTTTGTCCCTCCGCTCCAAAACCACTGAATGTTTAGTATCCAACTTGTTTCAAATTCACTCGATTTCATTTTTAATGCCCACTCAGAGTGGCTTATGTCATTTCCTTCTCACTCAAACTGGGCTCACCAGTATGATCTAAGATAAGGCTTTGGGTGCCCTACCATCCATCCTCTAAGTAACTTTTAAACACACACTGCTCCATGAAATTTTGCCCTTCCTGACTTATGTCCAAGATTCCAGCCCCCACTGTACTCCCAGCACAATTGTCTGCTGGCACCATCACCACAATCCACATCATGCAGACATCTAAGTTTTGTCCTCTACTCCACTATTTCGTTTGTTTTGTTTAGAAGGAGAAAGGGGCAACACAAACATGTTTTCAGATGAAATTCTGATGAAATTCTGGTCTTAAACTTACAAAAGTTTGGGTGTTCACATATCAACGATCAAGAAAAATGGTTCTGCATACTGGAAATACTCTCAAGGTTCTGCTACAACTTTAATATCTCACTCCAACTTCTTTTTATTAGTCAATTCATTATTGCCACTAGTGAAATCATGTTTATATGATCCTTCTAGAAAGCACGCAAATCAAGCTAGACCTCAGTGTTGCTTTTCACTGCTACACTGACTCTTACATATTCCCATTTGCTTACTTTTTTTTGCCCACCCCCAAATAAAAATACTCTGTTCAAGTCCCAAGCCAACTCTCACTGTGTCCCAAAACTCTGAGGAACAGAGGTACTTGAGATTCAATTTTTCAGCTGGAAGCTCATGTATTTCCTCTTTCACATCATGCAAATATGAAGGAAAATGCCTGTTAAATAGAAGCAAGAAGAACCCTGCCTTACAACTTCCCTCTTCCTTTTTTGTTTAAGGTTCATGCTAAGAAACCATTCTTAAACTAAAACTCTAGAAACAAACACAAAATCACAAATACTCTAGACTACCCTCCAAAAACCAATCCCTGGTACTTTGCTGCAGTGGGAGTCAAGAATAATTCTTTCAAGTATTACTTACCATAAGCTGCTGCCCAAGCTATGGGCATGAAAGTTTTAATTTCGGTGTCATCGATTTGCTGTTCATGGGTGGCTGCAGCATCCTCCTCTCCTACAATCACCTCCATATAAACCTCATCAGCTATTTCTGCAACATCTAAGATAAAAAGAAGTTAAAAAAAAATAGGAATGCTGCACTGCTGAAAGTGAAAATCCCTTCTCCCAAAGGAAAGCCACCTACTTACTTAAGTCTTCGTCTTCATGCTGAGAATCATTTACAGTCATGTAAACCATTTTCTCCCTTGGAATACGAATACTGCTATTTTGATCGAGCAATCCAACTGCGTGATCATTCTCTGGCTCGCTCTCCACAATGTCTACTGTGCCCCCTAATTAGGAAGACCAGAGCAAAATATTTTAAATACATGTCACCAAAACCTATGCTAAACCAGAAAAAATTCGAAGTTTGTCAACTCTTTAATATCAGACTCACAGGTTTTTACATACCACTTGAGAGAAACCACAGTCTCATGCAAAATTTCAAGTGTCAGGTTGGAGTATTCTCAAACATGTGTATTTTACCTAAATCGTCTTCTCCAGGGTCTGCTTTGAATATATAGACCTTGATGACTTCTGGACAAATGCCATCCACTTTACAAGAGCCACTTTCTGACTCTGCTTCCATGGTAATTTCAGCAGAACCTTCGTGTTCTATCTTACCAGCATCATCCACTACAAAAACAAGTTGTTACAATTACCCAGTCATATGCAGACAGACATATATGAAAGACATTTATTAATTTATGACTCAAATTTGGAAGCAGTTTAAAATTAAAAAGTTGCGATAAAGAACCTACCCATTAAATTTTTTTTTCATGTCCTTGAAAATAGTGACAATAAACACAAAAATAAATTCAAGCTGTTATCCTCTAGTTAAGGTGGAAGTGCAAGAATGCTGCAATGACAGAACTAGAAGCATGAACACCGCACCAGGCAATGCTAATAAGGGAACTGTGATCTGCATCAAGATGATGGTAGGAAGAAAGTACACATAAATACTTCACTCTGTGGCATAATTTCACTTATTCTCTGTTTTAATTGCTTTCTCCTTCACAACTAATAAGCTATTAATTGTTCTTTTCAAAAGCATTATCTGCTGCTCAACCCTGTCTCTGATGCAAGTGATACTACTGCTGGCCGTCAGAACTGGTTCCCTGAAAAGCACTGGTACTGGGGCTTTTCCAGCTGCCAGGAGAGGAAACCTGAAGGCAACTCCAGGAAGAAACTCCTCCCCTTTCCTCATGCCCTCCACAGCTGGGGAAGGAGCACAGGGCCGAGTGCTGCCCTCCCACTGCAGCGCTGGGAATCTGTCCCTGGTGTCCTTCCTGCAGGACCCAGCCCTGCACTCCTGCTGCAGCCCTGTGCACTGGTGTCCTTCCTGCAGGACCCAGCCCTGCACTCCTGCTGCAGCCCTGTGCACTCCCAAACTTTGCTCTCCCGCCTCCAGAAGGGCACCCACACCACGCTCCAGTCTGAGCTGCTGAAACTTGCCCAGAATCCCACATTACCCATGGCTGACAGCCAGCTTTACAAGGAACACACTTGGATTTTTGAGGTATACTGTACACAGGCACCTCCCCCATCTTACTTTACTAAGAACAGGTTTTCAAGAAAAAAATAGTAAGTATGCATTCACAAAAATCAAATCCAGCTCTCAAGACCTTTGAAGAATCTCCCAATTTTCAGAAGCCCCAGATGTTTCTTCAGTATAGAAATTATTTAAGAATTCCTAACATGACAAGATACTTTTGTAATTCGTGACTTTACTGTCACTCCCTCAGAGTCATGCATGCCTTCAGCTCATGACAGAATGACATGGAATTTATACTAATAGAAATCTAAGAACTGTCCTATAAATGGTGAAGAATTTTTAACTACCATGCCTAGGACATACCAAATACTTCACAAAGTATGCTTGCTTTACTAGCACTCATTGAACTACCCTCATAAATAAATCATAGCTTTACTACTCAGTAACTGCATTCTTAAATTTAATACATACTTTAAAAAAGCTCAAAATGTTATTACTATTATTTTCCTGCCATTAAGTCAATAAATTAGCCTTTGAATTAGATAAACTATCACGTTCTGTCTCATGTATCAAACATAACTGTATTTAAGAACAATTTCTCAATCAGGCATCATTACTCACAGAAAATATGAATGTACATTAAATTATAAAGCACTAACATAAATTAATCTGTCTCTCTCCTTACCAAAAGAACAGCAGAAAAAAATAAATATTTGAATGCCAAGATCATGATCAGTGGCCATGGTACAGATTGTTTCAAGCAGTAGGATGTTAAAAAAATTACTTTGTGTCACAGGACAACATAACATCTTGTAGCTGAACCCCAAAGCATTTAGAAGTAAAACCCGTAAGATGTTCTTTTGAATCACATTAACAATGCAGCTCCACAGTATGTATATTCAGTTACTAACAGACTTTCAAATATCATTGGAACTCTGACAAAAAAAGAAAACTTGCTTTTGTTCCTACACTACATTTATGCTGCTGCTCTCCCTTAACTTGGCTGTTTCCAGAGTCAGGCACATTTACTTGGAAGGTTTTCAAATCAGTGTAGACTGACTTTACACCTCTGAAGCCAAAAGGGAAGTCTGCCACCGAGATCAACTGATGCTGGAACATACCCACAAGGAAGGAAAATTATGGCTGAGTCAATCAGAGAGAAAACAAATCTGTGTACATGATGTGAAACAGGTCCATTTCTTTTAACCAAACCAGAGTTTTTTACTTCCATTTATACATGGAAGTACCCATTAATAGCTTTCACACAACAGAAGAATTCTAGGTCTTAAAAACATGCTCTATTCATGCTTTGAAATAAGTTCTCCAAGATTCTAAATATTATTTTATTCAACATAATAAAAAAATTGTTATACAATTTAGAATGTGTTTATCCCTGAATTTCCTTTATATTCAGCATTGTTTTAAAATATAACTGGTTTGAATATTTTTAACAGAGCCATTAAACTGTAAGGAAATTGATGTGTAGGAGGTATGAGGCCAACTTTTCTCATCCAAAAGGAAAAAAAATTCACTCTTGACAGGTAGTAATACTTTAAAAACTGAAGTCCTCGATGCACTTGAAAAGCAGTAATATTTGCAGTATAGTAACAGGTAACAGGATGAAAAATAGGGTAAAAAGATAGGAAAAAGATAAAAATCAAAGGAAGAGACAAACAAGGTGAAAGAGAATGGGTATTATTACAGAAAGTACCATTTCCAAGGTATTTTGAACTATGGCTACACAAGCATTTATTTATACTGATTCACTGGCAGCGTTTTATGAAATTTGCTTTCCATTTAACATTTGCCCATTCTGCATTCTCCATGTATCTCAGTCTCACAATTTGAGAAAATTATATTCACAAATACTTGACTGATCAGTGTTTCAAGTTGGAACTCTGATTATATTAATTTTTCATTTGAATTCATAGCCCATCAAGGGATCCCACAAATTACCATCTATGGTTGATCTTCTTTCATATTGCTCCTCTTGGACATTAACAAAAAAACCAATATCAAACAAACAAAAACAAAAAAAAACCTGCAAAAACCCAACAACAACAAATCCCCCTAAAAAACCCAACCAAATAAAAGAAAATACTTAAAAGAATTAGTTAAACTTCTAAGAGACCACCTCCTTTCAAGTAGAGCCACTGAGCATTACTAAACTAATCACAAGTCACATGCTAGAAAAACGTTCAGGCCAGCATTACTCCAGTGCTGTCGTACCTGTGCCTCCATTTTACCAGTTATGAACGGGACATTAAAAACTTTAAATGTCTGATTCTTTCCCCCCTATACTAGCTGGTAGCTTTCACTCAGTAAACAAGTGGATACAGACTAAATCTCAAGAGTTAAAAAAACCCCAAACAAAACAAAACCCAGAAAAATTACTAGACACAGTATGATTTTACACGAATTGCAAGAATGCAGTCTATGGTTATTTTGCCAAAATTCTTCACAGACTTCATTGATTAGAGTAGCCTGCTCTTTGCATACTATGAGCTGCAAGAATCAAGTAAGTATGTGCTTCTCCAATGTTGCAGTAATTGCTTCCATATAAAGATAATGCTAGAATTGTGATTAAAAGCACAAACAGATGAGAAAGGTATCACACAACATGAAAGCCACAGCATATTTAAAACCTGTCCCATTAGTACTTATAAAGAAATCAACAGTAAGAGACCAACAGGTAAAAAAAGGAGTAAAGAATAAAGTGAAGAAACAAAAGATCCAGGCAACGACAACAACAGATTCTACGTGATCTATCACAATGACAATCACTAGAAAGCACTACATTTAATTTAAAAAATCATATCATAAACAAGTAACAGCCAAAGGACAATTATCTCCAGTATCTCTACCCCTCTATTAAAACAGGTTCAATGGCACTTTTGGGACAGAAACAAGCTCCTATGCATTGATAATCAACTCCATACTTGAAGTCCTATTGAGGTCAGTTTCCCCACACAGAAGCACAACTGTCAGGCCAAGATCCTGATTTGCTTCAATAGAACATCTTTTGTTTAACCATGATACATACACTTTCCCCTAGAAGTTGCTTTTAGTTTTTTTTTTATATCAGATATTTGAGGGATAGGCAGATAAAGACTTTGTACCATTACAGTGGTTTGTTTCTAATTAAGAAATGCAAATATAACTGTGTTTATTTTTAATGGATTCCATAACTTTCTAAACTTTTTCTTTCCTACCATTTCTCCTCTATGTGGGATTAATGAGGAAAATAAAAGGATTATAAAAAATAAAATTCACTTAAGCACAGACACCTTCCAGCTTTTTCAAGTACCCACTGCTTATTGCTAAAGAACACACCAAAACAAACAACCGAAGGAAAATTTTATCTACACCAGTTAAACAGATCTTAAAAATGTGTCAATGGAGCAATTAGACAAAAATCATCTATTTTGTCAGCCTTTATGTTCCCAAATGGTTCTCTTAGCTGCTAAAAAAGTGTGCATCATGGGACACTTGTCTGCTTACAAAATAAACAACCCTATTCAAGCATTCTTAATGAAAAAAGCCATTACTAACTACTTCCTCTAAAATAGATTAAAAGCACTGTTTTCCCCTGACTTTGTTCAGTTATTTGTGACAGAAACATCTACTTCACTCAACAGCAGACAATTCCTAGTCCCTTGAAGAAGCTATTTTTACCATACACTTATTTCTTGAATGGCAAAGCACGTTTCCTAACCTATGAGAAAAGAGAAATCTGCACTATTTTCATTTTAATTCATTGCTTTTACATGTGAGTACATCCTATGCATCTAAAGGTCTCTCCAGGGTAGTAATCTAGTAGAGGTGTAATTCCTGAGCTCCCAGCTGGGATCTAACACCTGTCCTTCTTGTCCTCTGCCCCAGCACCCAAACCAGACTAAGCTCTGAGGCATCACTCAGCCCAAGGTAACTCTTTATTTCCATCACCTCTCAGGGCAACCTCCTGAGCAGCCTGAGCTGCAACAACTGTTGGTGCCACTCCAGCGGTCAGACAGAGGCATAGCAGCAAGTTCTATCTTTGAGAAAGAAAAATGTGATTTCCTGCACCTTTAGCAACCTCCAGGGAAAGAGGAAGGTATTTATGCTAAAAAATCAATTAAAAGCATTTTGCTTTCTTGACTCGAAGTCTACTGGATGGCCCTAAGGAAAAGCATGAACCCTATGGCCTGGTATATCAGATCCATTGCTTTCAACAAACATCCAACGAGGATGAAAAAAGATTGATTTTCACTGGCCTAGGTGAAACCTTTCTCTCTCTGTAAGTTACCCTGGGTTCGGACTCCTGTAATGAAAAGTGTTGATTCAGATAAAACAAACAAGAGACATGTCTAACTCAGAGAAAAGCAAGGGGATAAGGGGATGGATAGATGGATGGATGGATGGATGGATGGCTATAACACAGCTCCCATATCTGCAAATATTTAAATTCTTAAAGCTGCAGTTTAAGCCTTGTGAGGCTATCCTTCACTCTTTCCAGACTCCTCTTGTCAAACTTTTGTCCCTCACTATTTTTACTGCAGTAAGAGTATATGAGGATACAACCTTTCATCTTATAGAATCAGTTAATACCAGAGGATGTGTCTACCATTGCCAAACAGAATGAAATCAGACAAAAAAAAATTCCATTTCCATCTCATTGCCAGGTGCAGGGCACCGCTTTCCTGGGTTAGTAAATGTAGGATGTTTGTTTTGTTTTGACAAACGCCAGTTAATCTCACCACTACTGTTTCACTTACAGGGAAATGGTTTTCCAAGCTACCAAGTAATTAATACCAGTGTGAGTCACAGCACAATTTATACTTTCCTGACCCAACTCATGAACTGGCTTGTTATGGAATATGCAAAAGGAAAAAAAATTATCAAACTTCCTTTCATCTTTTTCAAGCCACTAACTAGTAGGTTTGCATTCTTAGTTGAATGAGTATCTGATTCTGCTCTGCTTTAAGTGCCCCGAATCTACCAAGGAACAGAAATTAATCTTGAGGGCAAAGACAAAGTATCCAAGAAAAAAAATAAGTACATCAAAAAGTAACTGGTGATATAAAGCTCTGCCAAGAAGCACTGCCTTGAAAATGAAGACAGCAAAGGCATACTAATGCCAAAACTAAATTAAATCTAACTGGGAAAAGTATTAAAATACTGAGCTCATTGAAGCAAAGTCACAGAATGAAACCCACAGGAACTGTGCTCTTTGAAAAGACAAACCAGTCTGAAATCAACAAAGAAGGTAGAAACACAACATTAAAAAAATGTACACACAGATTACTCATTTCAAATCACTTGTTTTCAGGATAAAGCTAAGAAAATGACCTTAAGAAAATATATGTATACTCAGCTCATTAGAAACAAAAATGGAAGTGCTTATAGAGAGCCACAAAACAGGGAAAAGAAAAAGACTTTGCCAATAGCTTCCACTGAAGAGAACAGATGGAGAAACCTACAACAGAAAGAACACAAAGTGTCCCCTGCTTTTCAAGCGCGTATCTAAAAGAAGACAGGCAAAGGCATTCTGAAGAACACAGTCTAGCTCACAGATCTGGGAAGCAGAAACATTTGACTACTACAATGGCAGACAAGATTACATTCCAACATCTGCCCCTGCAGTTCAGGGATCAAACACAAATTTACAAGTTAGGATGAAAAACCCAAAACTGGATTGGCTGATGTTACTACCTTCTGAAAACTAAGTTCAACTGAAGAACTGAGACAGGCATCAGATCAATGAACACACACACTGCTGATGAAAAAAAAAAAAAATTCAAATAATATTTTTCATACAACAAAGAGACTGTTTGGCAAGACAGCCTTTACTTGATGGAAAAGCACTAGACTCTGCCTTCACAACCAGAAGAACTTGTTAAGCAGGCTTTAAACACAGTAGGTGGTAGTAGGGACTTCCCTTTAAAATTAACTGTAGAACATTAAACACAAATAGAACGCCTATTTTGTAGCATAACGATTATTTCAAATGCTGGCTTATTTAAGGTTCTGAATCTAAACAAAGTACATTGCAAGAGACATTTAATAATAAATAAAGTATGAAACTGCAGAAGTACGTGACTGAAGATGGAGACTACCCCAGCACAAGGGAACAACTGAGTTTCTGTGCCTCCTGCCAGTCACCACCTGTTAACAACTGGTGCATCTAAGAAGCCTTCCCAGCTAGGTAGGGATCATCCAAAATGGCCTCTACCAAGACATTCTGTCCTTGTTCAGCCACTGCCAGCGATGAACAGGATACACATCCACCCACACCTCTCTGTGCATTTACACAGGCATGGTTTGCAAAGCGCTCCATGGCACCAGCCCCAGAGGCCCTGCTCTGAAGGAGGAAAACCTGCACAGGATGGGTGAGCAGAGACAGGGGCAACAGTGCCTTGAAGAGCTACAGCCAAGGATATGGAAGAGGGAAGGATCACCACCAGAAGCAGGCCTCAATTATCCATAGGCAGATTATCCAGTCTGTTGTCTAACTATGCAGCAGGTTCAGAAGCATTTGAGCTGCTTTCATCAGATTTAACTTGGGTCCAGAATCAGGAAGTTTTATTTGTACCACACCAGACAAGACTACATTTATCAGTCTGGGTCAATACAATTTCAGAACAGATGCCCTGACCTATTTCACCTCAGTACAATCCTGCAGTTTAATTTACAATATTTTGCGTGATCCATATTTTGCATTATCCCATTTCATTGTTTTCCCAGATAATAGAGAATTAACTGTACCTCATATAAACTCAAAACATGGCTGCAACAAGGTTACTCAAGGAACTCAAGAGATGATAAATTAAGAAATGCAGTGATCCTAGGTAAGGAGAAGCAACATTAAAATTCGTAAGTACAGAATACAAAATTAAAACAAGTTATTATACATTTCAAAAGTATGTCCAAAAGTAAAGAAGGGGAAAAAAGGAAAAAAAAAAGAAAAAAAGCTAACTGAAGCAAAGCATGAAGTACACCTCATAAACAGAATCATTTAACACCACACAAAACTGAAGTGCTTGAAATGGCAATTAAACAAACCAACCTAACATGGCTTTTCTATTTCTACAATAAAAAAATGTTCAGCATGACACTGTGATGTTCCCAGGTGCTGCACTGAGTGATCACTATAATAAGTAACATACTTAAACTCTAGTTCACACAAATGGATATCCTCAGTAGAAAAAAAGATTGATGATACGCTCAATTTTTCTCCACCTTCTATTTAAGCCCTTTGAAATACAATTCAAATGGATTGTGCTACTGCTCCTAAGAGAGATTAAGATATTCCCAGCTATGAGCAGCAATAGCTACTCTTTTTGTTAGCTGCATACCTCTGTCCTTTGCTTAATCAAGAGAAGAAATCACATCCTAACAGCAAAGAAAACCATATTGCTGTCTGTATCCACAATAAATGGATAGAGGTCAGGGCTTAGCAAAAAAACAAGACAAGGATTGGATTTTCAGAAACCACTGTTTTTTTCTCTTTCTTTTGCATAAAATATTTTTGTTTCCTTAATGTCTTGGTAGCCATCATGGTAGCCCGCACATATAAGCATTTTTAAACATTGTCACATTAATTTTCTTTCAGTTCTTATTAAGTATATGGCATTTGGTTTACTGGAATTCTTACTCTTTTGTTCATATACTACAAATTGCTACAGAAATAACTTATCATCAGATATGCATTTGCCAGTATTTCTCTCCATCAGCTTCACCGGAACTTTTATCTGGTACACACTCCTAAAAATCCCTCTATGTGAGATCTACATTTCAATAAAAAATAAAGAAACTCTGCTTTGGGTATTAAGCCCTCCCTCAGATATTTCAAGCCCATATCGTAAGAACATTGATAGCTTTACCCAAACACTTACAGGAAATCATAAGGTAATCATCACAGTTGCCCTTCTCATCTTGATGTTCCACAGGGATTCCATTGGCATCAATCACTGCCTCTGATGCACAGTCTGCCACCAAGACTTCCTCAGAAACAACATCTGTTCCCAGAGTATCAGTGACAATATCTGCTTCCTCAACGTTATCATGAACTACATGTTCTACGTGTCCAACTTCAGGTACATGCATTGACTCAGTTGTCAGTACATGTTCTGGTATAGACATTGTCTCTGCTGTTATGTCAGAAGCTAAAACATCATCTGGGACAGTGCAATGAGCCAAAGAAACCTCTTCAGCTACGTCTGTGTCCAGCACTTGCTCAGGAATAATGACTGTTTCAGACACGTCTGGCTCGTCCATGATATCTGGGCACTGAACATCCTCGATAACAACATCCTCAATGACATCCTGGATTACTACGGAGTCTGGATCATCAGGAACAAAATTATGCACAGTTATATCTGAGTCGACCACATCTGAAACAAATACTGTTTCCTGTACTTCCACAACAATCTGATCTCCATCCATGTGTGCTGCATCAGCTCCTGAAAAACACAATTAAAACAGCACTTAAAGTGTAAAAGTGTCTCATATGAGGTAGTTAATAACTGAAGTTACTTCTGTTCCACTTCAACTTTCACATTGTGCTGCACTTTAGTAAAACAAACATAACAGCATATGAACTACTAAGGTAGATAGATAAAGCAAGTCCTCAGTAGATGCTAACATAATTAAGATGAACAAGATTTTCTCTTCCGAAAAAGATTCTCTTCCAAAAAATCTAAAAGATTTTTAGACTCTCCCCCAACACCCAAACTATTACTTGACTGAAAGAACAGTAGCTCATTCATATTGCTGTGAGTAATAAAAACAACCCGAACTCAAAAGCGACTACTCTCTACAAAAGCATTGATGCAGCACAGCACTTCTCAGCAAAGGCAGAATAAACAATAGTCAATTGCATCAATCTCATCTATGTATTATCTCCTTACAGACCTGTTGGATCAAAAAATGCATTTGGCTCATGTGGCTGCAATTCAAGCCCATCTTCATCCATGGCCTTGAACTCTCATCAGTCACAGTGTCTGTATAAGATAAAGAGGAAAGGTTATTTCACTTGTATTAGGTGAAAAAGGTTGCCTCTGTCTATGCACTGAAAAGTTGACATTTTGGGTGCATGAAAGTTAACACACAGCACTTCATGACTTCAAGATGAACCGGATTTTACTCAGGGTCCTTCAGTCTGGGATGCTAGCAATAATACACTGGATGACCAAACACCCACTGTTGGAACTAGAGTGTGAGGTCCAACACTTTGGGTCCATTTCTCAAAACACTATGGCTTCACAAATACAGAAGCAGCTCATAAAGGAATGTGAAAATATGATTTTTATATAATCTTAATTTAAAAAAAAGGAAGAAATTAAGACAAAGCCTAGACATATTCCTGTGAGAACCTTAATCCAACATATTCCTACTCAAGGAACTCAAGTCCTTACTGGATGGGGAGGAATACAGAACTGTGAAATCATTAAGGCTCAGTGTGATAAGTTAAACACAGAGATCTCATTATCTGAAATGCACACCAGTTCTGATGTCCTCATGTTCACTCTTGGACAGTCAGGAAGAGTCACTCTTATGTCACTACAGGAACTGAAATCATCAATGTAAACTGCTTCCAGAGCATAACATCCAATGTTTTCAAACCTAGATCTGCAAATATTTTCAAAACTCTTGCCCTAAGACAAAGTACCATAAGTATCACAAATTAGTTCTCAAAAATTACCAAATGTCATGTTCTACCAAAATTTTTGAACAGCATGTCAGTATTTCAATGCATATTGATTTAGGATTTCAGCCTTCTTAATGAAAGAACCAAACAAGACCTCAAAGTTAAAATACTTGCAAAAGTGTAAAACTGCCATCTAAGTTTTGCTGCTTAGGTATGTGCATTACAGTTAGGATCAGGCAAACCTAGTTAGGTAAAATGCAGTCTAAGATAAACTTGTACTACTCCCTCGCACTGAAGTCCAACTACTTTCCCACGTGCAGAACAAGCAAGAGGTAACAGAACGTTGCTTCACATTTCTGCTTGTATTTCTGTAAAAGTGGAAGGTGTTATTTTTCTTCCTCCAAACTTTCTCACAGTCACAGGCAGAAAGCTTCCCATTTCCATGATGCTTTCACAAAAGACAGACAAAACATACAGATTCTATCCAAGGTTTCCATAAGAATCATAACCTTTCCAAATTATATCAACTACCATTTACGTTCATTAAGGCTTTATCAGGGAAACTGCTATACAAAAGAAAAAATTAACTAGTCCAAAATACGAATCTAAACCCATAATCTAGAACAAGTATTTTCTAATTTGCCCCACTTTTTAGCTCAAATTTTCTCAATTCTTCACCTCTGGAACTCTCCTTTGGGGTATTGTCCAGCCTCCAGTGCAGTCACTCAGGTCTTCTCTTTTACAGAAGCTGAGGGAGAAATATAGCCAGACATAGAACTGGAAGAAAAATAGTGGAACACTAGTAATTTTCCAAGGTGTTCTGTATTTGTGTGATGCTCAGCTGGAAGGCTTCCGTGTTTTAAAGACATCTGTGCTAACAAGTCATTGTGGTATTCAACTGGACACAAATTGCCTCCCAGTTATCCTGTCAAGCACTTCCACCCAAAGTGCACACTATGAAGAGGAACAGCTCTTCACCCAATGCTTTTTTTCAGAACCAAGAACAGAAGAAAAGTGTTTCTCAGCCTCAGACACAAGAAATAGCTTGACTGATAGCAATCAACTTCTGCCATGCCACAGAAACAAGAACAGAGTAACAAAATCCCATACAGTAATTCTAGCAAGAATTATTCATACCCAAGTTGCTTTCCTCCCATCTATTTGGTGTACACCCACCCAGTCTACTACCAATGTCCTTCCTATTCATCTTGTCATATTTTCTGTGTTGCCTGTCTACTTTCTTCTCTTCTGTTGCTTCTTTTCCAACTTTTGGTGTGCCTGCACCAATATCATGTTCATTACATCCCCTGCTCATTTCATCCCTCCATCTTCTAACTACAGTACCCTCCCATCACTCACACAAACCTCTGCTACTCATCAATTTGTAGTAAACATTGTATGGACAATGAGGAGGGTTTTTTTTTATGGCAGGAGACAAAGGGGTACTAAGGTTTGGCAGAAATAAAACTGCCTCTCTCCTCAGACTACACATACATAAGAAGATGGAGCTCTGTCTAGATTTCTGGGAAAAGTTCAGCTGCCCTTTGTGCCTGTGCTTTTGAAGGCTGTATTATCATACACATCAGCCTGCCATCTGCTGCGACCTGACCAGCCTGAAGCGTCAGTTCAGCACCTGAAGAACTGGCATTCATTTCCTCTGCTTCCTGCTTTCACCACCTACCTGACCACTCCACCACAAATTCCTGCTCCTCATGATTCATGCCTGTACTTTCTCTATCCTATCTGCTCCCTAAATTCCTCACTTCACTAAGTGAGGCAGTCTTTCACTGTCCTTCTGTCTATCTTCCTCACCCCTGACATGCAGAGGTCTCCATCACTACTTTCCAGCTTCCTCTAAGTGCCTGCTGACACCATCTCTTCCCAGTTTTTCTCGTTTTCTGGATTCCAGGCAACAGATTCCAAACCCAAAATGTCCCTGTGGTGTTCAAGAATTGCAGTTTCACAGCAGTGACAGCCCAGCACACCACATAATTCTGTCCTCTTCTGTACTGTTCAGGTCTTCTCACCTACACTGGCAAAATGTGCTCATAACAAAGGCTCAGGCTCCAACAAATCAAAGACACTTCCTGGCACATGGCCTTTCAAGTCTTAAAAAGAGTCTTAAAAAGACAACCAACATTTGTTTTGGTGCTTGTTCCAGAGTAGAAAGAAATTTCAATGGTTTTTTTTTTTTCCCTCTTACTAAATAATGTTTCTCAAAATGTGCTTCAGCATACAGACCCAGCCACCTCTTACCCCTGTGCAGGACCAAAAAGAGTTTGGAAGTGCTCCACAAGGGCACAGGCCTCACACCCACAGAAATTTGCTGCAAGAAGATGACTGAAAGAGGATGCAGGCACTTAAAACAGGAATTAACTGAACTGAAATAATAAAAGTGTCCAAATCAGAATCTGCAATCCAAAAAGGCATAAAGTAACTTGTCCGTGGCTGAGGAAAAAAAAATACAAAAAGATTCCTGAAAACGCTTCAGTGTTTGAGCATTCTAACTAGGAGATGAGAAAACACTGTTTCTTCCTCCTTGCTCTTCTGAGCAGAGGGTGAGCACAGGGGTACAAGACGCAGCCACACAAAGGAAGGAACACCACAGCGCTCTGTACCGGCAACAGCAGCTCCGTGACACAAGAAATACCAGAGCTGCTTCTTGCAAGCACCACAGAGAACACCTTCAGCTCCCTGGCAAGCACCCCAAGCGCTCTGCTACCATAAAGGCTAGGAAGCAATTCCAGCTGTTCACTTTTCTGCAAGATTCCAAGAAGGACAGAAACTCCTCTCAGTCCTTCCAAAACATTCCAGCTGACATTTACCTCAGGACCCGAGATTCTGGCATCAAAGCTAACAGAATCAATTTTTCAGTTCCATCTTGGGAATCCAAATTCTCAAAGAAAAGCTGGTGCCCAGCCTTGTCCCTTCACTTAATCCTTCTCAACTGTGTGTCTCTTTGCTCAAATCGCAGGAGTTCTGGTAACATCCTTCTACCACTCGGACCAAAAAAAAAAAAAAATCTGAGGCATCCAAGATCAGGTTTTATAACCTCTGAAAAGAACTAAACACCTACACCTTTTACTTGGCTTAGGTCCATGCCAGCTTCACATGGATCAAGAACTAATACAACTCTGTAATATACTTAATTCTGTCCATACAGTTAGTTTTTACAAACTGATTTTTATCTATTTACTCAGAGACTTGGCTGATTTTAGCTTTATGGAAGTCAAGGTAACATTTTCAAGTGGAAGGACAGATGGAAAATTACTTATTAATGGAAGAAATGGTATTATTATATTATCAATAATCTTCCAAAATAAAAATTATCATGAGAGCAATCAGTCAAGAAAAGCAATGCAGACAGTGCACTGTCACATTACAGATCCTTGACTCAAAAGACCTACCAAGGCAATCAAGATGAAATAAAATGAAATAGACAAGGTGTCATGTTTTAAAGGAGCAACTTTAAAAATAGAGCTCCTTAAAAGAAGTTTAAACATTCTGCAGAAACTGTTTCTCTGCTCTCACCAAAAACAAACAAACAAACAAAAAAAAAAAAAAAGGGGGAAAAGGAAAAGGAGAAAAAAGGGGAAACTTCAGAAAAGCCATCCTTGTGAGAAAGAAACACAAAGCATAGTTATTTGCCTACTCCTAATTTTTAGTAAGGCCATAAACCAAATACCCAAGCAGCAAAACTCTTACAAATCAAGCCACAAAGCAGCAAAATTCCCCACGTGCAAGTGCTGGCCCCTACCCACGCTGGGATGACTTAGTGTACAGCCACAACCGTGCTCCCGTCGTGCCTTGCTCCAGCCCATTAAAAACTGCGGCACGCCTGGCATGTCCCATTTGGGTGAGAGCCCCGGGCCAGCGCGGCTCCGCGAGCTCCTGAGGCAGCGCCGGGCTGTCCCCGCCGCTGCTGCAGTGTCACAACTCGCCTGACGTGACCCACTTGTGGGAAACGCAAGGCACACACACACGCACACTGCCCTCAGTCGCACACATACGAAAGGCAAAAAAAACCCCTACAATCCCTACAGGATTTCATTCCTGCCTTGAAAATTATCCCCGTTATTATTAGGTGGAGAAACCGAAGAATAAAAACGACATTGTAACAATGTGATCGTTCAGCTGCTAATTTCTTGACGCATCTCCCTCAGCTTTGGCAGGGGAATCAGTGCTGCTGTTCTCATCGCGGTTCCGTAAAAAAAAAAAAAAAAAAAACCTCGTCATTCCCCTCTTTGTTGTAGTTCCGTGGTGGGGTATTTGCAGAAACCGGTTAAAGAAAAGGGTTTTCTCCAGATTTCACTGGAATGTTGTGCGCCAGACGACAGTAATTCCAAAGGAAATAAGCTAATTCCTAACGAAACCTAAATTAGGGAAATAACCGATCCCAGGCGCACCTTTGAACCAGCACCAAGGGGGCCCCAAGGGGATTAGGGGGCTGCTTACGGGGCGAGTGGGCGAAGGCGGCTGCGGGAGAGCTCCCGGCGCTGCCGAGCCCGCGCCGCCCGAATCCCCGGCAGGAGGAGAGGAAGCAGATGGCGGGGCAGGAGAGCACTCGACCGGCAGCCCCAGCCAGCCGGAACGCGCCTCGGCGCGCTGCGCCTCACAGTGTGGCAGCGGGAGGCGGGGAGGGTGTGGAGGCTGCGGGCGGTCCCTGCCGGAGCCCCGAGGCTCCCCCGCCCAGCCCGGCCCGCGCGGGGCCCCGGCTGTGCGAGCGATTAATTCAAGATGGCGCCGGCGCCCTCCGCCCCCCCCCGCGCGCCGCCATTTTGTCTCCTCCTCCAGACACCTCCGAGCCCCCCCCGGCCGGGCCTGCGGCCCCTCACCGGCCCCACTCGCCTCCCCCCGCGCCCGCAACCACCCACCTCCACTCCGCGTTCCTCACGCCACCTGCCCCGCCGTCCCGGGCCGCGCCGGGCGTGTGGAACTCGCCGGCGCAGAGCCCGCGGCCCGCTCCTGTGGCGGAGCCCTGGCGCGGCCTAGCTGCGGCCTCCTCGCGGCCTGCGCCGCGGCCTGTGCGGGCAGGGGGAGGCCCGGGCCGGGCGGGCGGCAGGGCCCGGCCCGCGGCTCTTACCGTGCGGGTGCC